GTCTCAGAGCACCCTCAGAAGAAGGGCATGGTAAATTACTTTTGAGTATTTTATACCTAGAACATGCTGAAGTCAGAATTGACTTGACAGTACACAACTGCAATTATTAATCAGGCGATAACATTTGAATAACCCTTGAACTGCAGAACTGGAAAGGACCGTATGGTTCATTCATTCCAGCCCCTTAGAACTGAACTCTCAACCTCTGGCTCCACAGCCAGACAGCTAAGCCACCGAGCTATCTAGCAGTTACACTAAGTAAAAAAATAATCAATAGTGGTAGTACTTCTTTGGGTGTGGATCTGTCAAGTAATCAGAAAACCTGGCTTTCAAAGAGCCTATACACTTTGTCACACCAGAATTGTTATATGTCTGTCCATCAGGGGAAGCACCTCTTTTTGAAGGGCCCAAATATTTTCTGAATGTACAGAGATAACGTCTCAGGAAGCACCAATGTATGTAATTCATCCAGCTGAAAAAACTGGTCTCATCCTGGCAAGACTTGAAAGCTAGTCTTCAATATTTTTATATCCCGCCTATCTGGTCAATATGACCACTCTAGGCGGCTGCATCAATTGCATCTGTTAGGGAAGGGTTTTTAGTTGAGGAAATTTTGTGTAGGTGTGTTTGCAGAAATCTCCTATGCCAAAGCTGCTATTCCAGCATGCATTATCTATGTATTATCTTAACACAGTGGGGGCTCCTATTCCATTTTGGCCTTGAGTGAAATGAAGCAACAGCAAATAGTTTGCTGGTCATGCTTGCTGTGGGATTCTGGAAATTGTATTCCAAAACAGCAACTTTCCCACATTCTGCCAGATTGGATTCATTCATAGTGGTCAGGATGGCGATGGGCAAGCCTCTTAGAAGCTGTTCATAGCACATGATGGTTTGTTATGACTGGTGATGGGAGTTGAAGTGGAATAAATCACAGGGAGCTGTGGATTCTCTTTTATCAGTATCTGCCCTCTTCCCTAGTACACTGGAAGATTTGCTCCTCTCCCTTTAGGTATATAATCACTAACCACAGTTACAAAACGCTCTAGTGTTCATTTGGAGATGGTGGCCTGGAACAAACAAGAGGGCAAAGATCTCACATCAGCTGTTAGTGAAGTCAGCATCAACCAGACAGTGACCTCAGTTAAACTAACTGCATAAATAAATACAGAAGGAAGATACTTCCTAAGTAAGGAAGTACAACCGGGAGATAGTGGCCTGATACATAGCACTACAAAAATGACAGAGCAAATTATCTCATTAGGTAGTCTGTGTGGATGACTAGTTCACACCAAAATGGAGCTGTGGGTGTGTTTTCAGAGGTAACAACCCTGTGACTTAATAGTGGGTTGTGACACTGAAAGGGAGGATGGGGGAAAACCCTCTTCTATTTGCTTTTTTTCTCTTTTTTAATATTTCCCTAGCAGATGCATTGCAATTCTAATACTGTACTATGCTAAGCTGATGTATTGCTCTTTTGATATGCTGCTTGCCGTATTTTTCTGTTTATAAGATGACCCAATGTATAAAATGACACCCCCTTCTAACCCCAAATTTGATCCCTGCTTTTCCCTTCCTTTTGCTAAGCTACAAGGCTTAGCAAAAAGGATGGGAAGGCTCTCTTGGTAAAGGCTGCACAACTGCAGCCCTTTGATCCTGAAGCCCTTTCACGGCTGCGTTACCCACTTTCTAAGCTCCGTGGGGCTTCGGAAGTGGATAGAGCAGCCACGAAAGGGCTTCAGGATCAAGGGGCTGCGATTGTGCAGCCTTTTCATGGCTGCTTTACCCAAAGGGAACCTTCCCATCCTTTTTTGCTAAGCCCCCTGGCTTCGCAAAGGGCAGAGAAAAGTGGCTGCCTTCCTCGTATAAAACAACCCTCAATTTTTTTGTCTAATTATTTAAGGAAAAAGTGACATTTTATACATGGAAAAATAGGGTACTTGATTTAACAACAAAAAAAGGAAAGCCACTGAAGCTGGCTAAATGACAGCTATAGGAAAAGGCAAGGAAGGAGCTTTGTGGGCTCCACCCCCACAAAGCAGTACATACCCAGAGCAGACCCAGTTGAGCCGAAAGGCAGTAAGGGGGGGGGGCTAGCTCCCTTCCATCTCATGAAAACTCACCCCGATGTGCCAGTACTGCCACCATGAGCTTGCCTTCTTGCTGCATTCTATGGCTGCCTCCTAAATCATGGGTAAACTAGGTAAATTGGTCTCATCAGAGTTTTTTGAAATGTTACCCTCCCCTTTCCCCCTTTTTTCTGTTTTGTGTTTTGGTTAGGACTACAAAAACAGTAGTCAAACAATGTGCATAGTTTACAACCGTGCTGGATGGGGGAATTTGGGAGTTAGATTCTGGAAAAGTAACTTGTCCAGGCTGAGGGTCCCTGACACAGGAAATCTTCAGGCCAATCATCAATATTCTCCCACTGCAGATAAAAGTGTGACCCTCCGAAATTTAAATAGCTCAATGTACACAAAATGCCATGAAGGAAACTCAACATTTTATTGTGGTTGTTATACCAAGATTTTATAGATTATACTCAGTTGCAGTCAAAAATTTTCCAAGCTTGGTCTACTGAGGAAGGAAAACAGACACTCATGTAATTATCAGACCATTGAGTAATAGCATACTTTACCATAAATGGATATCCTTTAGAACTAAATAGCTATTCAAATTCTTAAGTACAGAGGTACTGTAACTAGACATGGCATGATGATACTAACTCTGTGCAGCAGTGCCACACCTCACATTATTAACTGGCCAGTACCTTTCTGCAATAGGCTTAAATGCTGAGTTTTCATTCCTTAGTGTGGTCTGAAAAATTCTTGGCACAAGCTTTGGCAATTCATGAAAAGAAATTTCCTAGAATAATCAAACATTCTTCTGGGTACACTGAGCTGGACTTAAAAACAGCAATTCACCAACTCTCAGTCTCAGTTCCTGTGTTACAATACATTATGTAGGATGTGTTGTGAGAATGACTGATGGCAAGGAACAGAACAGAATATAATATAGAACTCAAGAAACTAAGTGGTTACTGGAAACAGGTTCTGCAATTCAGCACAAAATGCAGTTATGCTGACATTTCTCCTTTGCTGCTGTTAAGAGCAGGGGTGGTGGTGGTGGTGAAGTGTTCCTTATTTATTTATTTAGTAGATTTATACACAGTCCATCTAGAATGTGTCTACTCTGGTCAGTTTATATATAACATAAATATAAAATCCTTGCCTAATTATGTTGTAAATCACCCAGATAGTGCTTCAAGTAGTATAGAGTGGCATGAAAGTCAGAATAATGAATAAAATAAGTTTCTTTTTTGAAAACAACACACAGTGCACAAAGAGGTTAATTCCCTCTCCCATACTCCCCCTTCATTCAACAACAATTTATCTCCATTACAGTCTAAGGGAGCTTTACCAGTTACTTCACTGGAAAGTGGACCCTATCCTCATAGGATGTACCCATGCCTTGCAGTCAAAGTCAATAGCCACATCCATGTCTCCTCCATTCACCAGGCCCAGTCCCTTGCCTGCAACAGGGACCTAACATGTTCAGCTCTTTTGAAATTCTGGTGTAACTAGGCCTGAGGGTTGCACTCAAGCATCCTCATTAAGGATATAACTGTCACTGAACATGACTGGCAGTTTACAATTGCAACAATAAAAGTAATAACCTCAAGGCATGCATCTATGAACAAAAGCACCTTCTGTTATGCAGATCAGGAGCTTACCTAACATGTTGCTCTAGAGCCACACACTTAATGCCAACAAGATTTCAGCAGAGTGTTGCCACTTATATAGCACATCAGGGTGGTGGCTGCTGCTGCTACACTATACATTCCATGGTGCCACTGTGTTACAATACCATCAGCTGGTTAAGATGTCAGCTGGAGTACTGTGTCCACTGTAAGATGGGCTTAAAAGAACTGAAGGAGAGATTCAGGTTCAGTGTTAGGACAAATTCCATAATGGCAAAAGAAGTTTGACACCGAGCTCAATTAACCGGGATAGGGATTCTGCTTTGACGGGGTTTATAAAGATTACTTTTTTGGACTACAGATCTCAGAATCTGGAAAGGGGGGTGAGTATTTCAGGGAGTTGTCTGAGAAGTAACTAAACTCTACGTAGTAGTTGAAAATCTTGACACAGAAGCAGGAGAACCACCTGCTGGGAAGCTCCGGATTTCCTGCTTTGAAGGCAGGGCCAGCCAATCCGAAGAGTGAGGCCCAAGTTTATCAACCAAGAATAAACACACCCATGTATCTTTCACACATCCCTCCCATACTAAAACTCTAGATTAACCAGCAAGTACGAGAAAGACTTTAGATTTTTTTTCCTTAGCCCCCCTTACTTCAGAATGAGAATAATCTTTAGATCATGAAAATATACGCACAAAGGCAAAAGCTGTACAAATGGGTGGCTGCATAAAGCTATCCCGCTTTTACTTCCCATCTGAAATATGTGAAATATTTGAAACAGTGCCATAATTATTTAATTAATTAGTTAGTTAGCAATAAGTGAAATATGTGAAATATTTGAAACAGTGCCTTAATTAATTAGTTAGTTAGTTAGCAATAACCCTAACCCAAATTGGCAGAGTTGTCACTATGCATCCCAAAAGATGAGAAAACACCACTGTTAACAGAATGGGGTGCGGGTCAGGCACACTGGGCAACGAAGCTGCCTTTCCCCCCCCCACACACACACACACTGTCTGATTGCCGTTGTACACAGGCGGAAGAAGCACGTTCCATGTGCTGGAGCATGCACAGAGGTCTGAACCGTCGTGCTGCGGAAGTGACCGCCGCCTAACTGTAAAAATCAGCAAGTAAATCTAGATCTGGAGGACTTCTGCGGCAAGCAACGTAGGGAAGACGAGCACCTCCGGGCGTTCTTGCACGCGAAGCTTTCCCGCGAGGAGAAGCAGGGCTGCGGCAACCCGGCATTCCCGGCTGGCTTTGGAGGCGCTCGGTCGAGAAGCGGGACGCGCCCGGCCCTTACCTGGCGAACGCTGCGAATGTGGAGTTGGTGGCGGGGGTTGTTCTGGCGTCTGTCTTTCCCGCCTGTCGCGCTCGTCTCCCACTCGAGCTGGCCTGGCTCAAGCCTCGGAAGCGGGGCTTGTTTTGTTCTCCTCGGCGGAAGGCGTGCCCCAAGAGCGACACCCAGCCGCCAGCCCGAAGCGGCTACCAGGGCGGGAGGAGGGCTGGGCAAGGCAGGGCCCCCTTTTTCTCACCTCCCCCTCTTTCTGTGCTCAGTTCCACAAAAGGGCTGATGTCATGTTTTCTGAGGAAACGAATGACTCGGGCGGGCCGGCGGACGACGCGGCAGCTCTGCCCACCCAGAGCGCTTCTGTTGAAATAGGCGCGCTCTAGCAGGGATCAGGACGTGGGGCGTTCTTCTGATGTTCGGATCAAGTGCTTTCAATTTATGTACAAGTTATGAACCTGTCCTGTCGTTCATAGTCCCGCAAACTCAAAGCCATGGCTCCCTTTATAGGGTTGGTCCATCTCATGTTAAGTGTTCTTTTCCTACTGTCTTCACATTTTCCTCCCCTTATTGTCCTTTTTAATGAATCTGATCTTTTCGTTTTATGTCCAAAGTAAGCTAAACTCTGTTTAGTTATTTTAATGCGGGACATATTGAGAAGAATACATATTATCTGGAAGCGACTTTTGGAACCTCTTAAGATACAGTGGGGTCTTGACTTGAGAACTTAATCCGTATTGGAAGGTGGTTCTCAAGTCAAAAAGTCTGTAAGTCAAGTCTCAATTGACCTACAGTGCATTGAAAACCGATTAATCCCGTAACAGCCCGTTTTTGTTCCATTTTGGTTTTTTTCTGGTCTGTAAGTCAAATCTCAGTCTGCAAGTCAAACCTAAATTTTGCGGCCAGAGAAGTCTGTAACTCAAAAAGTCTGTAAGTCAAGCCGTCTGTAAGTCAAGGGTCCACTGTATAAACTTCAGATCAGAGCGAACAGTCTTCTCATTCCTTCTCCTCCAAGCCTAAGTGAGGATGCTGCCACCAACTAAAATTGGACAAAACCCCCTGTATAGTTAAAGCACCTCCCAAATGCTGTGTGTGATTTTTTTCAAGATGGATTTTATGCATTATTGCTTTTACTGGATTTTTAATACTAGCTGTGTTTTCCATTTTTGTATTTTGCATTTCTCAGAGTGGCATTTTTTAAAAATTGAATACTTAATGTTCTTAGCTTTAATATTTCCTTTTAATAATATATAATGCCTCTTTACTCATTGTTCCTAGCTTTAAACATTACCTTTTAATCATGTTAACCACTGTTGTATACTCATTGTTTTAAACTTCAAATATTGTTTTTCAATGTTGTAAGCTGCCTCGGGTCCTTTTAAAGGAGAAAGGCAACGTAAAAATATTTTTAATAAATAAATAAGAATGATCCATCTAACTATACTGAAAACAATACTGGCAAAAAAGATCAATGCTGCCACTGCAGCTCAGCTACAGGAGAGAGAGAGAAAAAATCTGAAGATAAACTAAGACTGGAATCAGTTCTATGAATACTTATTTGGAAATAAGGCCCACTACACACATCACAAATGGGCTCACATCTTAGCAGACACTGTTTCTGTGAGAGTGCTCATAGGTATGAATTCCCCATCTCCTATTCACTCCAGACCTATGTCATAATTTTGTGTCATTCTGATGCTGTTTAGGGTCACAGACTTTAGATTCTATGTTGCCACAATAAGGGCCTTGCTAGAAGAGATGCTAATTTCATATTTAGAACCAATGCAGGTCTATACCTGCCAGCCTTGAATCTTCATCTTAAAAACAGTTCTGGAGGCTTTGTCTAAGAGCATCTTAAGCAAAGCTGTTGGGCATTTCATGGCTGTTCCTTCATTTTGGAGGAATGGGGGAAGGGTCATTTTACATTTTTGAGGCGAGTTGCTTTCCTTGTTCTGACCATGACAACCATGATGATACACAGCCAATGACCATCAGAGTATGACTTTGATATAGATGTTTGGGGCCTCACTTAGCAAAATCAGCAGTTACCCAACCCTAGTGTAGCTCACTTTCTACACTGTGAAGTATGTAAAGGAATATACATTACTGTGGTGTCCACCCAGATCATGAATATTAATGTGCTATCTGCATGTACCAATGAGAGTGCTGGAGAGGCGGAGTCATGAGATATAAGAGTCTTGGCAAGAGGAGGATGAGGATGGTTGATTTGGATTTTAAGGGGAGAGAGTTAGATTGCTAAGCAAGGGCTGATGTGTAGTGAACCCATGAAGACCATTAAGAATTGTTTAGTTCAGAACAAACAATGTTGGCTTAACTTTTTTCTTTGTTACAATAAACTATTACTGCTTTATATAAAATGACATGTTGTCTGGACCTCTGTCATTAACACTGAAAGTTGTTGTGAATAACTGGTGGCAGCTGAACAGCTCACAGTGTGAGCCTTTGATGAAACAATCAAAGGGTGCATGGGGAACGCAACAATTATCATCTAAAAGAGGTGAGCATGTGTGAATTTGATAATACCAGTGGTGTACTGGAACAAAGGCTCACATAGTTGAACTCCTGGGACTTTTCTGATAGCAGGTATGATGATGCCATCCACTAACACCCCCCTCTGTCTTTATGTTCCCTCAGAATTTATTTCTCTGCAGTAGCTGGGAAAGAAATGGTTATTCCCAGGAGTAGTACGTTGTTGCAAGATATCCCTATTGTAATGTTAATTATTTTGTGGGAGGGCTTGGTTTGGTCTTGATGTGCAATAAAGATCTATTAACTTTGTAAAAGGTATGTTCCTCATTTGCTAGTATGTGCTGATTAAGCTGACTGCAGTTTTTCCCCTCTTTAGTTTCTGTTTATCATCCAGCCGTTGTCATCCACAGCAGTGGCCTTTCCACCCACCCACACTGTAACAATATCTTGGAACAGCAGAAAATGTTATTAACTGATTTACAGTGCAACCCTATACATGCTTATTCCATAGCAAGACCTGCGAAGCTCTTTTCTACTGTCCATTCTACAGAAATTTCCTGGGAGAAATACAAATTTCTATATAACTTTGCTGCTTTCAGACAAAGTCCCAGATATTACTCTACAAGTGGGTAAATATTGTGCTGCTGTAATATCATACCATAGCCTCCTATCCTTGTCAGGCTACCGGATGCCTTGGCCTAACGTTATGACAATGAACTTTCAATGATGCAATAATGGCTTTTTGTTGTTGTTTAGTCATTAAGTTGTGTCTGACTCTTTGTGACCCCTTTGGCCTCTGTTTAATCTGAGCTAGTTTACTATCTTATTAAATGTCTTAAGGAAGATGTTAACATGGAAGTTAATGTTTTAAAATGGATCACCTGTTTTTTAGAGGTTATGAAAATTATATTTTAATCATATTATATTGCTGGTCTTTGATTGTAAATAAACAACTGATCAGTTGATTGATTGATTGATTGATTGATTGATTGATTGATTGATTGATTGATTGATTGATAGCAAGGCCCATTGTGTTCAGTAGTGCTTACTTGCAGACTAGTATGCTTAAAACTGCAACTTGGTGCTTTCCTTCACCTCTTTGACACAAATGTAAAAGAACACTTTGTACTAAATGTGGAAACTAATTTGATCTGGACAGATGAATCCCAGACTAAGCCATTCTCCACTTAACTTCCACACATACTGTATGTATATGACCTAACCACAAGAATATAGGCATTCACCTCTGCACATAGATGCATACACACAATTCTTAGTGGTGAAAGTAAGTTTTTTCAAAAGAAAGGGGAAAAAGGCAAAGCCCAGGCAGTATGCTACGCCAATAGGAGCACTTATTAAAAGTATTAAATAGTATTAAAAGTATCACAGTATTCATATTAATAATACTATTAGTTAATGCCACAATAATGAAGCATTAACATTTTGAAAGCCAAAATGCTATCAGTTTGCATATGGTTTGTGAAACTCCCTTATTGATGAAGTGTAAAGGTAAAGGTTCCCCTTGACAATTTTGTCCAGTCATGTCTGACTCTAGGGTGTAGTGCTCATTCCCATTTCCAAGCCGTAGAACCAGTGTTTTGCCCGAAGACAATCTTCCATGGTCACGTGGCCAGTGCGACTAGACATGGAACACTGTTACCTTCCCACTGAGGTGGTACCTATTTATCTACTTGCATTTGCATGCTTTCAAACTGCTAGGTTGGCAGGAGCTGGGACAAGCGACAGGAGCTCACTCCATCACGTGGATTCGATTTTATTACTGCAGGTCTTCTGACCTTGCAGCACAGAGGCTTCTGCGGTTTAACCCACAGCATCACCCCTCATTGATGAAGTACCAGTGCACATATTGGCTGTGCACCTGGTCCCATGCCCAGCTGAACAACCATGATGTGCAGCTATCTGAATGTCAATAGGATTGCAGCCCATATATAACACTACCAAGCTCAATGTAAGGATGGCTTTGGACTTCACAAAAAAGCACCAACATAGAATGCACTAATGGTTCACAAATTCTTTGCTGGCTCTTTCTGGCTAATAATCAGTGGAAGAAGACATACATCACACTATAACACATTCATCTTCTTATGGAAGAGGTACATAATTTCCCTCACTTGATGTTGCAATGACAGTTTCAACAGATGATGAAAAAATGACTCAGGCAAACAGTTGTAACTGTTCAAAAAGGGATAAGAGCCCAGCTGGAATTTCTTAAGAACACTCCTTTGCAAGGCTTTATCACAGGACTGGCGAAGGTTCAGAAAAATTATGCAAATGGTTTACAAAATCAACATATACACACATTCAGAGGGTGGAAGGGAGGAGAGGAAAGGGAAAACTGTGCACTTGGTCTGCAACACCCTTATCAACTGCCACTTTATAACAAAATGAGTAATACTTGTTTAAATGAAGCTGATTAATATTAACTCCTTATTTTTCTATTTGAAAGTGCAGTCTAAATTGCAGTTATATAATGGATCTCTTTGATAAAAAAAACTTCTACAAATCTATATATGAAAACTGTTTCTCCCTCTCTCTCGCTAGCACATTAGTACAGTACTTGAAAGTAATGTGTTACTTTGGTAATGTGTTACTCTTTCTAGCACATTAGTACTTGAAAGTAATGTGTTACTTTGGTAATGTGTTACTCTTTGCATTAACAAGTAAGTTACTTTGGGGCCTCTAAGAACCACAGCTGTAATTCTTGTTTCAATGTAACAAGAATCTCTCTCTCTGTCTTTCTGCTACTCCTTAAGTCTTTGATCAGCAGGAGGAGGAAGAGTCAAATGGGTAGTTGATTTGCTATATCTTACTGTCTCTCTTTAAGGAGGAAGTATTGTAAAGTAAGAAGTAACAGAATGAATTGCTTCTTAAGTGTTAATGTCCTGAAGTTTGTGATCAACATAGACATAGTGGCTGAAATCCTGTTACTTAGTTTAGCAAGCCTCACCAAAGTAGGCCCATTGAATCATGGGGATTTGGTCAGTCAAAACTTTTTCCATAAATTTCATTGATTCAAGTGGGCCTATTCTAGTTGCAACTTGCTATGCTAAGCAACACGATTTCAACCATAGTGACACAAAATACGGAAAAATGGTTAAAATCCCCCCAGAATTATAAGTATGCTCCAGTTTGGCTAGTTCAGAATGTCTCAACCTCATACACTCCACTTATGTTCAATTACTTCTTATGGTTTTGACTGCCACTTTCAATAATAATGAAATACAAAGTTGTTTTATTTTTCAAATGAATTTATGGAAAATCTGGATTTGATCTCTTTTTCACAGCTCATAACAAGTAGTGTTTGAAGAGACCCTTGTCCAGCAGGCCGAGGCAAAGAGGCAGACCCAAAACCAGCAAAATCAGAGCTGGACAGGGGACAGATTCTATTTGTCCTCAGTGTGGAAGGGATTGTCACTCTTGAATTGGCCTTCTCAGCCACACTAGACACTACTCCAAGTCCTCCATACAGAGCACGTTACCACAGTCTAATCAACAAGCAGTGCATATATTTTTGAAGTGAAGGATGAGTTGATGAAAAAGTTGGACTTCTGGAGCTGCAACCTATCCTCTTGGGAAGATACCCCTCTGAATTCCATAGGATTACCTCTTAAGATACCCAAATAGGATTATATTGTAAACTTGCATTATTCTGCCACCTGGGATCTAATGTGATTATTAAGATCTTACATTTCCTTCCTGTTTTATAGTGACATAACTTTAAAAGGTAAAGGTAAAGGTTCCCCTTGACAATTTTTGTCCAGTCGTGTCCGACTCTAGGGGGCGGCGCTCATCCCGCTCTTCAAGCCATAGAGCCAGCGTTTGTCCGAAGACAATCTTTCCGTGGTCACATGGCCAGTGTGATCTAGACACGGAACGCTGTTTACCTTCCCACCGAGATGGTACCTACTCGCATTGAGATGGTATCTACTCGCATTTGCATGCTTTCGAACCTCTAGGTTGGCGGGAGCTGGGACAAGCAACGGGTGCTCACTCCATCGCGTGGATTCGAACTTACGACTGCTTGGTCTTCTGACCCTGCAGCACAGGCTTCTGCGTTTTAGCCCACAGCGCCACCACGTCATAACTTTGGGTATATGCAATTTCTGTATTTTAATATGAAGGTAGCCAAATAGCTCAGTGAGTTAGATATGAACGGGAGTATGGTGACCCACTGTGTTTCCCAGGAGAAGAGCGAGCCAGAAGGGAATGGCAAATTACTTCTCAGTACTCCATATCTAGAACACTCTGGAAAGCATTGCCACGTGTCAGAACCAACTTGATTGTACATAACCATAACTGCTATCAGTATTGATTATATCTATCGTTACTATCTATTTTGTTAACAGACTTGAGGAAAACAAAATAGAGTAGCAAAAGGGCAGATGTAAAATAAAGTAGCATCATTGAAATCTTCAGCCTTATTTAAGTTAAGAAAGTAATAGGAATCGTTTTCTTTTCAAGGCACAGTGATGTACTGTAGTTGGTTTTTTGATAGCTTTGGAAAAGTCTCCAAGGGTTTACATGCCCCCTGGTGTTCAAACTGCACTACTACAGTCAGGAAAGACTAAACACTCCCTATACGTACTTTATTTTTGGAAAACTTTCGAGATTGTGAGACTCCAGGGTCAGATTCCTTATCTTCTGGTCACTGTCCAAAATGCGATGGTTCATGAGAACAACTTAAACATCTCTATCAGAAAGAAAACATCCCCTGGCTGCCAGTACTAGAAAAAAAATAAAAATTGTTCTTATCTTTTCTTACCACAACTGTGATCTGGCATGTGCACTGTTTTCTTACAAATGTATAAAGATGAGTAGGCCTTTTACATTAGAAATGTGCCATCCTTGCCTTTCCTGTCACAAAGTCATTAATTAAATTATCAATAGTCTTGTGGTCACAGCACCATTAATTTCAGATTCAGGGGCGAGGAAGGGCAGGGGCAGAGGGAAAGGATGACAAGTGTAAAAGCATGGGCTGCCTACACTGCCTTTTAAAGAAGGAATCAAAAACAGATGCACACGCTGTTCTTTCAAAGTCCCTCATTCCTTTGCTGGTGGCTGCCTTGGGAAGGTGACTGGAACTTTCTCCTGATAGATGGGGGAAAAAAGGGACAACCATAAAAAATGAAGCAGAGCATCCAGCTCTGCAAATTGCAGCTAGTGCCCTTCTGTCTTCATAGATGTAATCAGTCTATCACATGGCCTTGCTGTTTGCAATTTCACATTCAGAGAATGCAGTAATTATGGAGAACTGGAAACTCAAAATACCATTTTGGAATCTGTGACAACATTGGGTGTCATAAAAAAAAGATGTGGTAGAGGATTCTGCCAGAGTGACTTGGGGTCCAGCGTGGAGAACCATTGTCTCTCCAGATCTGAAATGATAGCTTCCACAGTCCCATTCTGTTGGGGAAGGCTGATGGGAGTATTACACCAAAAATCTAAAGGGCTACTGGTTCCCTACCTGATGAGCTGGCACCAAGGACAGGCTATTTACTTTAGAAATAAACTTTCCTAATCTTTTCTGCTGCAAAATCATTGACAAAATCATTACGGCTTACTGCTTAAAGATGTGTTTCTTCAGTCATCCAATGTTGTACAGGGGCTCTCACAACCATAACTGCAGTGGGAAGAGGCAAATAAATTTAATTTCTTGGATAAACCTACTTGCTTCTTCTGTTGAGCAGGTGAAGAAAGAGGAGTAGGCTCCCTGCATTGCCTTCTATGAAAGGAATCAATGAAGATTGTGGGCATTGCCCCTTTAAAGCCCCTCATTCACTCTCTTCCTTGTGACTGCTGTAGTAAGCTTCACTGGTAGCAGAGGAAAAAAGACAAAATAAAACAGATTACTCAGCTCTGCAGACTGAGCCAGAATTATTTCTGTCCTGCTTTCCCCTCAGCCTCTCCTGCAAAACATGAGCCTGTTGCAATTGCCCCATGTGCTCCTGGTGTTCCTGTTTGTGTTTTCCCATTCACAGGAATAAGATTTTCATGGAGATCTGAAAAATCACAAGTGTTCCTGCTGACCTAGGCATGGTTCAGCTTGGAGTGTGTTCAGAAGAGCATAGGGTGGATCAGGCACCAATCTGTGTGCCTGACACATGGCTAGGGGTGGTAGAGTACATTCTTAATACACAACATAAGTAAGGGACTGTGCTTTCCAATCTGAGTTTGCCATTGGTACCTTCATATGCTGATTACTGTTACTTCCATTTTACAGATGAGAAATTGAACTTGACAGGGAATTGATCAACTTAATGCCATGCAGTTTTTTTTGAAAGAGATAGATCTTTAACTAAGACTTCCATTCTAATTTTGTTAAATACCTGCCACAGACCTCTAGCTTTTTGTGCAACCAACCAGACATTATTATGCCCTAGTGCTCAGGAAAATTTTATCTACCCTGCATGAGTAATTCCGACAACAAAAAATCAGATTTTTATTTTTGAAAAATAAAACAATTAAGAGGATGGTGAGGCACAAAGAAAATCAACAAATCAGGATAAATGTTAATTCTTTGTAATACCCATGCTGATTAAGACAACTAGAAAAGTTAGGCACTGTAGAGTTTTAGGCAATACCTAGGTATCTTCTGCCCATGGATGTTGGTTTTGTGCAGTTCCCGGGGCCAACACGGCTATCCTTGCTTTCATGGATGATAATTTGGATATCACAAAAGTAGGCAGTGCCTCTATAGACCACTAAAAATCATCATATATTTTAGTGGCCTGTAAAGGAATTGCCTATTTTTGCATTTTATTTGGACTTAACCCTTACTTCGTTGAGTCCCTCAAGACAGCGATTCTTCCAAAGCCAGCCCATTATCTCAGGAACCCCCTTCCCCACCTTATAACGCGAGCTTCCTCCTTCTATCGCTCCCGCCCCTCGTTAGAAAAACGTATGGCAGCCCACCCTCTGTCCCCACAAGACTGGGGGGAGCCACGCTCTCCGCGAGAAGCCCCTGGAGCCACCTCCAAAAACTACCTTTCCCACAATGCCCGCAGAGGAGGTCTGCGCTCGCGCCTCCATAACTCGGGGGCGGGGGAGGGGGGGAGTTGCCAATATGGCGCCGGGGCCACTCCGGTGTCCTCCGGGCTGAGGCGTTCGGTGCGGTTCCCGGTACCGGAGGCGACGGACGGCGTCGGTGGCCAGTCCCTGGCCAGCCTTTGCCACCATGTCAGAGCCGGGACACCTCGGGGTGAAGAGGGCCGAGTCGGCGAGACTTCGGCGAGCGGAGCAGCTGAAGCGGTGGAAGGGCTCCTTGACAGAGTTGGAGCCGGTGACGGCTGCCCGGAGCCGATACCGTGGCGGGCCCCGAGTTCGCTTCGAGGACGGCGCCGTCTTCCTGGCCGCCTGCTCCAGCGGGGACACCGACGAAGTGAAACGCCTGCTGGCCCGGGGTGCCCGCCTCAACACCGCCAACGTGGACGGGCTGACAGCCCTGCACCAGGTACCCCAGGGCGGGGCCCTTTCCTCCTCGCCGCTCTTCCCCGGAACTGGGGCGCCGCAAATCTCCCCGGGCAGGCGACCCCTATGTATGTGTGTCGGGTGTGTGTGTGGAGGAGGAGAGAAGATGGGGAGAACGTACGAAGGGAACGACGCTTGCCTTTTCCCCTCCTACCTTCCAGGGATTGATCCTTCTGACACAGAGGCTGCCTAGTCATTTTTCTTCTTTGAAGGAAATAGCTTGTAGATTGTGTGTGTATTGGGGGGGGGGAGGTTGAACGTAGGAGAGAGAAAGACTTGACGATCAGAGTATCAGGGCTCAGCACTTTGCTTTTTCCTACCCGGTTGCTGTCTGTCCCCTTGGCACTGACCATACACACAGTGGAGCAACGCTGTGGCTCAGCCTGCTTCGCTGTGGGGACTGATGCTGGCTCTATAGTCAGCACCATTTACACATACAGTTGCGCCAAGGATCATAACATGACTCATAGCTTGCAGGATCTCTTGTGCCACCGCCACTTAGAAGAGTTGTTCTCTCTTTTTCTTTCTTGCATATCCTGAAGAAGTCACCTGTGTGAATCATTCACGCTCCCATACAGGCATATCTCTGGCATTGCAAACTAGGGAACCAGTACCTCGACATGACCGGATAGACAGTGATTGTCATGCATCGGATATGGGCATCAGTGAACCTTGGAAATAGATAGCTGAGTCTTAAAATCTTTTTCCTGGTGAATGTTGTTCATTTAAATATGATTGTCCTTCTTTCCAATATTACTCTAGTAATTGCCTGCATGTTGTCCAGCATCATACTTGTTCATTTATCCGTTTCAGTATGAATTCTTATACCTGTAGCATATTCTTCCCAAATAGTGAATTTTCCTCTACTGAAATGCAAACCTCATGGTTTTTCCATTTGTCATTGGCATGTACCGTTTTTGCATTCTCTTATTTTAAATTACAGTGCAATATCCCTGTAATAGAAGAAATGTAAGACCAAAGAAATAAACCTAGTTAGCTTGTAGACTTACTGTGGCTTACTCGTCCTAACCCCCCCGCCCCCAAAAAAGAAGGAAAGTATGGAAAAGATAGACTTGATTGTGCTGTTACTTTTGTAGATCAGGGCAAAATCAGGCTAGTTTGGTGTCATCTGAAATCTCATGTTTATAGTATAAATAATGAAATGGCCAAGGATTTTGTTTGATACTAAGCTATTGTGATCTGTTTGGCCTCACAGGAGGAGTCTTTATTGATGGAATAGGCTTAAATAAAGCAGTGCAGTACTTATTTATAGAAGGAGTTCCCTGTTTCTGACTGTTCACTTAACATGAGTGCTTAGAATCTAAAATAAAATATGGTCTTCAAGTTATTATTGGAAACTAAGAAATTCCTAGAAAATTTATATTGGAAAAGAGTTTCAGCTTGAGATATTGATGTGATTTTGAAGTATTACTGTCATTCTGGAATATTGGCATTTCATCAAGTTATAATTGCTCCTGGTTCATTTATGAACATTTTGCAGTGTCGGTAAGCTCACAATTACATTTTCTTGCCTTTATGTATTCTGTGTATTGCTGTGATACTTCTGGCTTCCAAAACCTTTTCTCTTGGCAAGCTTTACAGAGACCACAAGGTGCCAGAGTCTAAGATAAGCAACATAGAATTCTATTAATAGAATTCCTAATGTGCAGCAAGCATCAGAAGTGTCCTTAAGAGGCTACTCTTAACATGACAAAAACATCAACATTCAGTCATCTCTGGTTTGCTTCTTGTGTCGGGTTCTTTGTAGTTCAACAGAGAAAATGTCTCTGATAACAAAAGGTCTGATAACACATATGTGAATTTATTGTAAACTTCACTATAACTATATTTATATATTTGGTATCGTATCCCCACAGAAGACATTGCCTTCATTATATCTCATAAAGTGTGCTTTTATAATTATCCAAGATGGCTGACAACTGACTGAGTTGACATGTTGAATACAAAAATCTCGTAGTCTAGGGATGCTGTTAAATACTTAGGACTACCCAGATTCTGACCCAACTGGCATAGTGACTGTGAATGTGGGCTGAGAGGGATTTGAATCTGGTATAATTTAGCTCCTTCCCCTCTCCCTCTGTTTTCTTGACTTGTCAGCTGATCTCAGCCAGCCCAGCAGTTAGATTACAGATCCAGTTGTGCCATGCAGGCAGATCTGAGATCTCAGTCAGCACAAGAGCAATTGTGCTGGCAAAAGTCTTCTCCCCATTCCTGACTTGTTGTAGCTAGTGTGTTGTACATTTGAGTTTGGATTGCAGTGCTTGCTGGAATTTTTCTGAAAAGATAAAGGACAAGGTTTCTTGACAGCTAGCATTATTGTTTTGATAGTTTTAAAAAAGTTACTCAAAAACCCATAAGTGAACTGTCAATAATGCTGACAGTTTCTGCAGTATATACCTGTGTGTATTTTTTTTATATATTTCTAAGCATGGGAAAAGGAGAACAATCATGCTATAACTCTTAGTTGCTTCCTATGTGCTGTCGCTTCTGATACTTCATTGCCCTTTGGAACACATATTTGTAGTGATAAAGGCAGCTGATGACTTCAAAGCCAGCACTAAATTCTGTCCTTGCTGGTAACTGAAGAATTCAAGCAGTCCTTTGTATAGGTAATGATTCTTTTGAAGAATGATGCAGCTTTTATCATATAGCATCAGATCTGTTTCAGGCCTTGTATGTGACAGTCTCTCAGAACTCTACATTTAGTAGCACCTTAGTAGGCCTGGGACTGAAGTGAATTATGGTTGCCAAATAAGTTAAAATGCACATTAATTGAAATTAGCATTACTCTGCACAGTCATGAGGAAGTGCCTTATTTTTGCTATCTGGCACACCAGATTTGAAAGATAATGTGACATTTCAGAAGATCCATGCAGGTAAAACATTTTTTTAATATCAGAGATCCCTAGATATATCTGTCAACCTTTAGTAATGGCTGCAAACTACAGGAAAAGTGATTAGCTAGCCTCCATTTCCTCAGCTTGGGGCTTTGCAGTTTGTTTCCACTGAGGTATGCGTAAAGCCTGTGCAATGTTGAGCACATAGGAAATAACTTCATACCAGTTCAAGAAGGAGATCCCTGGGCTATCTATTGCTATTTAGTCAGCTTAGTAGCATGTAACATACTGTAATTTGTGGTCTTAGGGGTGTGTGATTTTTGCCATGTCCTCTCTGAAGGTCAAAAATCAGTCAGGGGCATCATCTGGAAAATACTCTCACCGTCCCCAAAAGATCATGCTGATCTTCGTTCTCCTCATTCTGACTCTGATCATCTTGGCAACAAGATAAACACAAGGCCTTAATGCTACCAGTTCTGCTACTAGCATCTCTGTTAACTGGTTTGATACTTGGCAGGCTCACGCTACAGATTCCTTGGCACTGAAGCTGCATTTAGAGCTCACCATGTCCTCTTCTGTTTGACATTAATTTTGTGTCCCTATGTGTTCTTGTAGTTAGTTTATCTTTTGTTCTGTCTGTCTTTCTAGCTTCATTCTGTTTCACATGTGATTTGCTATGTACTGTGAAGTGTTTACATTATTCATTTTACAGTACTTGAAATTATATAGAAGTGAAATATCCCATCATTTGAATCAAGATACAGGTCTGGATCTAGACTTGCCCCTGTGTTAATGAAAAGGCTCCTTCCATTTGCAGAGGGAATGGGGATGAAGCAGAGGTTATCCAGTGGAGGAAAAATATGATGTCACAATTTTCTTTCATTCTCAGTGCCCTCTGTCTCTCCCAACACTGCCTTTCATTCACTGCCTTTGGGGCACACATAGTTGCAAGGGGAAGAAGTTCCCTTACAGTCATCATATTTATATCGCACTGAGTGGGGAGTGGACTTGTATCTTAACTTGAATTGTTTGTTAAGGCACTTAAAGCAGCACATTAGCATTGTAAATAGTATGCTAAATACTTTCAATATGTTATGTAAGTTGTAAGTTATCTTAAACTTACCATGTACAATGTTTTTTTTTTGCGATTTCAGTTGAAAGACTATGCTCTATTAATGAGAATGTTTTGCAGCGTAGTGGCAGTCTGAGCAATTCTGTTGTTTGATTTGAAATGGCCACTGAAGAAGAGCTAGATCAAAGCTTTAAGTGATCAGTGTTAGAGAAACATTTGGCATGCAGTTTGGTTTTTACAGCTTGCCATTGGAGCTGGGAGCATTTTCTTTCTTCCTCAGGTTGTGGCAGTTAAATATACAGTATATGATACCCTCGTGACATTAAAAAATAGAAATTCCACCTCTAAGTTTTTTGCCTGTAGGGATCATTTCAATATATACTTTTGTTCTAATATTTATTCATTTCTCGCTACCATTTATTAATTGTTTTTTTGTGTATAGATATGTAGTAAAATAGATAAAAGCATTATCCAAAAACAGATTGAACACAATCCTTTTATACAATTATACAAACAGCATAACTGTTGGAAGCAAATTGCCATAAGCTAAGGAATCTTAACAGACACTATCTGTTGAATATTGAGTTCAGATAAGGCCTACAGAGGTTTCTTAATTTATGTCTACTAAAAGTTACACTGTTTGTAACTTATTTATTAGCAGTATTATTTATTTTATCTTTATCATCTTTATTCCATTTCTCCTCCGTTGCATTTATGTTATTTACAGTTGCCCTTCCTTTTTGAGGTATGTTAGGTGGAGAGCAGTTGGGCTCATGGTCACCTACTAAGATGTATATCAGGCTGGCTCTTGCATATATGTTTTGAAATACAGTACTTAAATGTCTGTTGACACAGGCTTTTTCTTTCTTTTCTAAAGTCTGTTATAGCTATTGTGTAGACAAGTGTGGCTACACATCACATTGTATCTGGTATTGCATAGTCATTCATGGGCTAGTGCGTTTAGGAAGACGTACAGTATATGTGCAAGTGGTGGAATTGTAAAAGGCATAATATGGAGCAATAGTTAAAAATGTAAATACTGCTCATGGGAAA